GAGCAGATGCCAGAGGCCAGCAGGATGTGATGGAGGCTCTGATCTCCAGACTTAGTACACAGAGAAATGCAATACAGAAAGGTGTAAAGCAGTGGTTCTCAACTTTTTTAATGCCGCGACCCCCAACCAGTTGTAGGTCGAGGACTACTCAACCAGTCGTAAGTCGAGGAGTACTCAACTGGTGCAGCACCGTTTGCAGAATGGGACTTTTGGCGGGCTCAGCAGGGCAGAGACAGCCTGGACAATTCCTATTGGCTTTTGAAAGCCAATAGAATTAGACTCTATTCAAGAGAGTCTATTCTATTGGCTTTCAAAAGCCAATAGAATAAAAGGGAGTAACACAGCTAAGGAAAAGGGGGAAAAAATGGCAGACTGCATTGTTTGGCGACCCCCGTGAAATGGTCGTTTGACCCCAAATGGGGTCCCGACCCACAGGTTGAGAACCCCTGGTGTAAAGAGTTTTTCTCCATGTAAAACATGCAGCCTCCAGCATTGTTTACAGAGCAGGATCCTCTGCAGATAAGAGTGGGTGAGTTATCCTCATCATGGTCCCTTTTTCAGAGATATGAAAGACTTTTTTAGAAGCTTCTGTCTGAAGAAGGAAAGAGAAGGCGATATTGCTTTCTGCTAAATTAATTCAGCAGCTTTAAAACTACCCTCTGAAATGATTCTGAGATTCAGTACGGGCTTCTGTTTGGATTTTCTCTTGTTTTTCTCTCTGTCCCCAATACATATTAGCAATCACTCGTGTGTATCCCAGCAACAGCGCGTGTCCTGAATGTGAGCGATTATTAAAGCCTTGGATCCGCATATTAGTTGGGTCTCATACTTTTGTTAATTTGTAGCAAGAACTCTGGCTGAATGGTCCATAGCATCAATTCCACAAGAGGGAGGAATAAATTGCTTATGATTATGAGTATCCTATTCAAATATGAACCTTTCAAAAGCCAGCCGGGATTAGTTGAATTGCAACTGGCTCTTTAATAGTCTTGTTGATGCTGCTAAAATGAATCCTTGGGAATGTAATGTTATTATATTTTTCTTTCATTTCTGTTAGCTTCAGTTAATACACTTGTGCAATGAAGGAGATTGTTGATATGCAATTTAGAACTGCAGCAAAATATTGCACTGTATTCTCGCCCTCTTAATAGACTGGACTACTACAGGGCAGTTAGCCATGTCTGGAATACTATAAAACTTTGTTTTCCTCCAAAGTATTGGAGATGCTGTAAGCCAGGCTCATTTTACTGAACTTCATAAGCCAGAATTCACAGCTAGTGCTGCCAATTCCTCAACCTTTTTTGCAATGTTCCACTATTGAACCGTGCTGATGCTCAACCAAAATGTACTTTGCTTAATGACCGGCCACTTAGCAACCATTTAAAGTCATAACACAGCAACCCCAGAGCAATTACAATTCAGTTCTGGGATTCTGAAGGCCGTCCCCATCGCCCAGAGGTCATGTGATCACATTTTGGGTGCTTGGCAGCCAGTTTGCATTTATGACCCTTTGCAGCATCCCACAGTCATGTGAATGCAATTGTTGGAATTTGTTGCCAGTTTCTGGCAAAAAAAGCCCCACCCATTGAAGAAAATGGGTTGGTTTACTGATTGTTGCATTTGCTTAGTGACTGCAGTGTTTACACAGAACAGTGGTTCTCAACCTTTTTAATGCCGCGACCCCCAACCGGTCGTAAGTCGAGAACTATTCAACCGGTCATAATTCGAGGACTACTCAACTGGTGCAGCACCGTTTGCAGAATGGGACTTTTGGCGGGCTGAGCAGGGCAGAGACAGCCTGGACAATTCCTATTGGCTTTTGAAAGCCAATAGAATTAGACTCTATTCAAGAGAGTCTATTCTATTGGCTTTCAAAAGCCAATAGAATAAAAGGGAGTAACACGGCTAAGGAAAAGGGGGAAAAATGGCGGATTGCGTTGTTTGGCGACCCCCGTGAAATGGTCGTTCGACCCCAAATGGGGTCCCGACCCACAGGTTGAGAACCACTGACATAGAAGGTTAAGGAATCCTAGATCAGGAAGAAGGTCTTGACAATAACAGCTGTCAATCAGTGGATAGTCATCACATGGAATGGTTTCTTTCCTTTCACTGGAAGTTTTCAAACTGGGGATGATGTAGTGAATCCTGCAGTGAGCAGGGAGTTGAATTTGATGACCTCTTAGGTCCCTTTCAGCTCTACAATTCTAACTAGGGTTCAGGTCGAAGAGGGTCAGTATTTCCAATTTCATCTTAGCACATATAAAAAGTATATATGTATGTTTTGAGGGGTTGGTATTCAGAAATCCACAAATCACATTTCTGGTCATTCATATAATGAGGGTTTGAAGTTACCTTTATGTTTCTATTTTTCATAAATGGTTAATCACACTGCCATTGATAATTGCAGCCAGTCTACAATCACACATTTAAACTGTAGCTTCATTGCTGGCTTGATGTTTAGATTTTCTTTGTTTTCCTCGATTCTTTGATCTTTAATTTGTTAAAAAAATATCTAACAAAGGGGTCCGAAAAACTGAGAGGCTTACTAGTTAAGACAGGGGTTTTCAACCTTGGCAACTTTAAGACTTGTGGACTTCAACTCCCAGAATTCCTCAGCCAGCTGAGGAATTCTGGGAGTTGAAGTCCACAAGTCTTAAAGTTGCCAAGGTTGAGAACCCCTGAGCTAAGAGGTTTACTAGCTAAGATGCAGAAGTGGGGTATGTTAATCATCCAGAGCCTATTAAAACGTTCAATATCAGTCAAATGTCAGTTCAATATCAGTCAGATGTCCTAGTTTATCCATGATCTTATCTTTATCTCTTCTGAATGGAGGTGAGAAATGTGTGTCCCTCCTGGTGTTCTTCTTCTTCTTGTGCCATATCCGTTATCGGACATTGGCGATCCTATTTTTATCAGCAGCTGCACGAAAAAGTGCTGCTGAGTTTTGTCCAAACCAGTCCCTTAGATTTTGAAGCCACGATGTTCTTCTTCTGCCTGGACCTCGTTTGCCTTCCATCTTTCCCTGGAGGATTAAATGGAGTATGCCGTATTTTTCTGGGTGTCGCATCACATGTCTGAAATATTCTAATTTTCGTTTTTTAATTGTTTTGATGATTTCCCTTGGCTTTCTCAGGCGGCTGATCACCTCCTCATTTCTGATCTTGTCAACCCAGCTTATACGTAACAGCCGCCTGTAAATCCACATTTCAGATGCTTCTAGTCTCTTCAGGTGGCCTTCTGCCAGAGACCAACTCTCTACTCCATAGAGCAGGATAGAAAAAAATATAGCATCTGACAAGCCTGTTTTTCAGTCTTAGGCTTATGTTGTGACTGCAGAAGACATTTTTCATTTTGAAAAATGCTGTTCGGGCTTTTTCTCTCCTTGTCTTTACTCCAATGGTCATGTTCTTAGACTGCAGTAACCATTGCCCCTATTCATTGGCCATGCCAACGGAGGTTGCTGGGAGTTGAGAATTCAGCGACATTTGGAGAGCCAGGAGATGCTCATTCATGCTCCAGAGGGAATCCGATTCCTGAGAGATCAGATGTACTCCAGCTTCAGCAATCTCTGGCCTTCCTCATCCAGTTTGAAATCCTGCAGATCTGACTTTTTTTTTTCCTGCTTCATCACTGATGGTGCTCTTGAATTTAGCTCACCATTCTGACCTTTTCCCTGGACTGATCAGGAAAAGGTATTTTCCTTTGAAATCTTGAGATCTTAAAAAAAATATTTAAGAAAGCAGAAATTGACTTCTGAATTGAGACGGTAGAGCAGTGGTGGCGAACCTATGGCACGAGTGCCAGAGGCGGCACTTGGAGCCCTCCCTGTGGGCACACATGTGTTGTTGCCCCAGCCTTGCCTCCCCTCGCCACCTCCTCCTCTCCAGCAGCCCTCCTAAAGGAGAGTTGCCCTCGAGCATGGCCCACACGGAGCAGCGCAGCCAAGGACATGGCAGGCAGGCAGCGTAGACAAGACTCTGCCCTCACACAGTTGATGCTGCAGGGTGTGGGCAGAGGGTGTGGCCGCTATAGCGCTGCTGGGCGGCCTGGGCGATCTGCGGCGGGCCCTGGAGGCAGTGAGTGGTCCTGTGGACAGGCAGGGCGGGGGATTGGGGGCAGAGAGGGGGCGGGGTGGGGGGGTGGAGCAGGGGCGGGGCCAGTTTTGGGGCCCTCGGTCTCTAAAACAGTGGTTCTCAACCTTTCTAATGCTGCGACCCCATAATACAGTTCCCCATGTTGTGGTGACCCCCAACCACTTATACATCACCGGGTGCCAGGGGCGTGGCCAAAGAAAAGGGGGGGAAAATGGCAGACAGCCTTGTTTGGCAACCCCTGTGAAATGGTCGTTCGACCCCAAATGGGGTTCCGACCCACAGGTTGAGAACCACTGCTCTAACAGGTTCGCCATCACTGCTGTAGAGACTACAGGATTGAGTCCAACTTCTGGAACTGAAGCTTGTTTCTGTCACATTGGGACGAGTCCTTAAAGTAATCCCCCTCTGATGCTCCCCAGAGATGCTGAACTGCATTTCCGATTAGGCTGGGATTGGGTTATATAGCCCAACAGACGCCACTTCCATCAGGGTCAGCTTGGAGAACGGGAATCAAATGGGCGAAGGATCTCCCTCCTTCCTTCAACAGCTGGAAGAAACGGGAGGGAGACGAAAAGAACCACCAGCAGGATACCTGGGGAAGCCCCGGGGCTCCCCGAGGAAATGCCTCTTCCAGAGCCTATTGCTGGATGAAGGCTGGCTCGGAGCAGCTGCGGAGGTGGAGGTCTCCCCTCCCTCCCTCCCTCCCTCCCTCCCTCCTTGGCTTCCACCTTCCTTCTGCGCCTCTCTCCGCTGCGGCTTCTCTCGGGGTCCGCCGCCTGCGGCGGAGTTCTTGTCTGGGCTACAAACATTCCACATTCAATCGAGCGCTCCGCTGCAAACATTCGGACGACCGAAGAGAAACTAGTAGTTTGCTGGCCTCTAGCGGCCGTCCCTATTTTCGTCAACCAGGGAAGATCGCCGTTCACGCTCGTCCCGGGAGGGGGCGAAGAGCCCGCGGCAAAGGGGAACCCGGCAGGCTCCCCCGCCTTCGCTGCCCCTCCGCCGCCACAGCCTCGGGGGGCCCGGGGCAAACAGAAGCCGGCCGGGGGCCTCCGGCTCCCTTGACCTGCGTGCTGGGCGCATGTGCGTAGCGCTGCCTCTCCCCCCCCTCCTCCTCCCTGTGGGAAGCTGCCCCAGCGTTTGCTTCCTTCCCCACCTTCTTAGCTTACCGCTCCAGACTTCCTCCTCCCGGGGCCCGGCGCTCGCTCGCTCGCTCGCTCGCACGCGCTCGCGAGCCCCCGCCGCGAGCGCGAGCCTCGGCCAGGCGAGCGAAGAGGCAGGCAGGCAGGCGAGCGAGCGAGCGAGCGAGCGGGCGGACGGGAGAGCGAGCGAGCGAGCCAACGAGAGCCGAGGCAGCGGGAGCGGCAGCAGCCAAGATGGAGTCGCGGCTGAACCTGCAGGGAGCGAGCGAGCGTGTCTAGGGCTCCCGGCCCGCCGCTTGGACCGGCCGGGGGCCCATGGCCTGGCCCCTCTCAGGCCCCCCTTGGCTTCTCCCTCGGCCGGCGCCGCGGGGCTCCGGCGACTAGCCGCCCTTCGCCAGGGAAGAAGCGCTGGGGCGCTCTCCGTTTCTGCGCCGCCGGGGATCCCGCGCTCCGAGCCTCCCGGCACGATGCTGCCGTCGCAGGAGGCCTCCAAACTGTACCATGATAACTACATGCGGAACTCGCGGGCCATCGGCGTGCTCTGGGCCATCTTCACCATCTGCTTCGCCATCATCAACGTGGTCGTCTTCATCCAGCCTTACTGGATCGGCGACAGCGTCAGCACGCCCAAGCCGGGCTATTTCGGCCTCTTCCACTATTGTGTGGGCAACGAAGGCAACAACCGGGAACTCACCTGCCACGGCTCCTTCGCCGACTTCCGCAGCATTCCCTCCGGCGCCTTCAAGGCCGCCTCCTTCTTCGTGCTGCTCTCCATGGTGCTGATCTTGGGCTGCATCACTTGCTTTTCCCTCTTCTTCTTCTGCAACACGGCCACGGTCTACAAGATCTGTGCTTGGATGCAGCTATTGGCAGGTAAGGTAGCGGGGGCCATTCCCCCCCCCGCCCACCCTCTTTGCAAATAATAGATCTCTCCAGGAAATCGTGTGTTCCCCTCGCCCCCCCTTCTCGGCCACTAATGCCAGAAACTGAAATAGGAAAGGAGAAAGCAGAGGCTAAATAGAATGAGTGGGAGGACTTCCCTGCTTAGAAGGGAAAACTAAAGGGGGGGAGAGAATTGATCTGAACAGCCAAAGTAACAGGATGTAATCATTTTTTTATTGGTGGAAGACCCTCAATGAATAACTATTTGGCTGAACTGGGGACTGAAGGGAAGGCCTATACATTATATTTTCAAAATAGGATGCTTGGTAATGAAATAGATACCATAAACTCTTGTACAGTCTCTCTCCACCATATGTGGAAGACTTGAGAAGGCCCTTTAAAATAAACATAAACTATGAATGAGATTCTGCAGGATACTGGTAGACAATTTCATTCTCCCAAAGATAAGTTGCACTTCAGTTACCATCAAGCCATCCAACGTGATCAATGGCAAGGGATTTGGGGAACTGAGATTCAAAGCATCTGGAAGGGAGTCAAGCTGTTCTGAGCCTATAAAATTATTGCCCTGTTAAATCAAGTGAGTGACAGCTCCAGATGTCCGCGATCTGTTGGAATAGACTTGTTTGGTTTAGTTTGTGTAATGTTTGTGACAGTTCTAAGAGTCACAGAGATGTGTGTTTTAGGTTGTGTGTGTGTGTGTGTGTGTGTGTGCAACTTATGAATGGTTTGTGTGTGACCCCCAACAAAGTATTTTTTGATAGTGGTGTAATTTTATATGGGATTAGTTTATTGACAAATGAAACCCTGATATATCCAAATCTCTTTGCAAATAGATTGCCAGAAACAGTTTTTATCTTGAATAGTAAATAAATTGTATTTACTTATTCAATCAAAAGTTTAACATAAATAAAAAGTAAAACCTCATCACCATTAGTTTTAACCAGATTAAAAAACTGATTTAAAAAAAGTTAAAAGGCCAAATCCTTGTTACAGGGAGTCAGATACAGGATCTGAAAGATTGGTCAAGTTTCTGGGCTTCTGTCCATGGTACTGAAAGCCCAAGGGAGGAAAGAATGACATATGCTTGAACACTTAAAGACCCAACACCTTCATTTAAACAAGATACTAAACTTGGTTAACTAAACTTGGTTAACTTTAACCTTGTTTGGTTGTCTGTGGCATAGTGTATTATGCAAGTCCAATATGTTTCTTTATACTTCAACTTATTGTGCAGATCCAGGTAATGGAATAATTGTATTGTCAGATTAAGCATATTGTGTGAACTCTACTGAGGCATGTGAATGCCCAGGAAAAGTATGGAAGGTAGAAAAATAATAAAGGACAAGGATTTAGATTTTCAACTTTAAAGCAAGTAAGGCAGACAAAAGTTATGGTATAAAGATGCATTCAGTGTTAGAATAAAACTGTTGTCTGAGAAATCATATAGCAGCTATATGATGAAAACAAGGACTAACAAGATATCTGTAAAATAAAATGAAGACGGAAAGTATACCTCCTCATTTTAAAGGCATTTTATGCAGTGGGCTCAAATCCAACTGCTGGACCTGTTTAAGGAAGAAAGACTTGAATCCCAAATGAGCTAAGCTGCCAAGCTCAGCATAGAGGCATAAAGTGGTGAATTAATGTCTGATCAGCAGAAAGCAGACTATCTAAAAAGAACTAATGGATCAATAAAAAGGCTTTCCGGGGTCTGAAGTAAGCTTCATTTAAGTCTGGGAAAGGGGCCATGATGACTAGAACCTCTCTTCATACAGGCTATTTTTAAGTGATGAAAGATGCAGGGACTAATAATGCTAGTTTGCAGTTCTTCCAAGCTGATTTTCTCTGATTTGATGTCTTCCAGATGCTAGCTAAGATTCTAGGAGTTGAAGTCTACTACATTCGAAGAGCATCAAGTTGTGAAAGACTGCTATAATGCTAGGAAAAACCTAATGGCACATATGATGTAAAGCCGGAGAACTACATGGGGCCACAGGTGCATCACAAGGATATTGTGGTGGAACGTAGTCTGGATTCCCCAGAGGGAGGGGCTGCATTCAAAAGGACCAAGAGACAATGAAGTTTAGATAGTTTAGTTAGGAGAAAGAAAGTTAAGATGGTTCCTCCATAGTAGTTCTCAGAGTATCTTTCCAGTGATGCTTTAGTTTGACAATATTTTTGTCCCTAGGTGAGGAACAATAAAGGAAACTGGAAATAACTCTATTTGTCAGGCTTTTGGGAGGCTCTTGGGGCCTGACCAATAGAGACGTTATAGTCCTCCAACTGTTACTGACTTGTAATTCTCAGAATTTCTTAACCACTGGCTATCATGCCTGATCATAACTTAGCAACATTTTGAGGGGAACAGGTTCCTCGCTCTTGGCAAAACCACACTTAGATGCCAGTGCTAGAGCTTTTGAGGAACTTGCATAGCTATGATTGAACTTGCAGATGTGAACATGCAATACTTTCCTTCTGTGACACATATAATTGAGTAGAAGCTCAAAGAATTGAATTGCTTCCACAAAGAGAATCCCTAAACTTGATGCCTTCCAGGTGTGAGGACTTCAATTTCCAGAATTCTACAGCTAGCATGGCTGTGGTTGAGAATCCCAGAAGTTGAGGTCTTTGTAGCTGGAGGACTCTCAGGTTATGGAAATATCATAAAATAATACAATGGCCCCCATTCAGAATTTTAAATTGTATTGCTACATGTGGCAGAAATGTCATACTTTCCCCCCCCCCACAAACCATCAGTATTCTGTCCATTCATTGTAATTGGCAGTCCAGAGTAAAATGCCACAATGAAATCTATTGATTTCAGCTGCCAAAGACTTAGAGGGGCAAAACATTAGAACAGGGGTCTTCAAACTTGGCCCTTTTATGACTTGTGGACTTCAACTCCCAGAATTCCTCAGCCAGGTGTCATAAAAGGACCAAGTCTACTACATTCGAAGAGCATCATGGTCATAAAAGGACCAAGTTTGAAGACCCCTGCATTAGAACGTAGCAAAGAAAGAGATTGTAGAACCACTAAAAGCAACATGACGGCACACCAAACGGTATACAGTAAAGGCTTTTTTAGCCTATCAACTGTATAGTTAATGAATAATTATTTAACCCAAAGAGAGTTGATAAAATAGTTGCCAAATGACATTTTCAAAATATTTACTGAAGGCACAAGTTTGTCTTGGTTAAAAAATATGGACAAGTTTTTTTTTAAAAAAAGAAATAACGTGTCATATTGAACCTATGATTCTAAGAGCTAATTCACCCAAATAATTTGCAATATTATCTCCCTTACCAAATAGTTGATTCACAAAAGTTTGTCCTGGTCAGATAAAGTTACTTATTTAAATGGTTTGCAAGTTAACCGTAGAATCACGTAACATTTTGAACATTCATTAGTTGAGATCGGTTTAGTCTTGGTATCATATACACACAGAGTGGTATGGTCTGAATAGGCTAAGATGCTAGTGAAGACGGCAGCACAAAGCAAATGTTTAGGAAGAGTTTAGATTAAGACTGGAATGATACTTTACTGAGGAGGGCAATGGAAGTCAAATTATCTTCTTTTTCCTTTTCCTTTTATTTTCTGTATCCAACACTTAGTCTTCCCCAAACTTTTCAAATGTCCTCAAAGTTAAAGTTTCAGATAAAAATACAGGAAAGACAAATGAAAGAGTTTCTCTATTTAAAGTGGCAATGAATATCTATTCTGAAAAAGGACATCCAATTTTCTGCCCCTTTAGGTTATCTAAAGGTATTAATTTAGAATTAATTTAGGAGAGCAACACAATTTAAATACCGTATTAGAAAACTCTTAACCTACCACTACTTGTTTTTCTCCAAAAGTGGCCAATCAAAAGAACTAATTCATCCGGGTTGGGTGCTATTGTTGTTCTGAGCTAGGTTAGTGTAGTTTTGCAGAATCCAGAATGTTTTTCATTCAGATAATGTGAGGACAGGGTGTAGGGTAAAAAGGGGGTGTTATATCATCCTTTGGGGCCCCCAGATGTCCATGTGAGTAGTATAAGTAGTAGCAGAAGCATAAAAAGCAATTCTTCCAGGTAAAGTAGGACACAAGTTCTCCATCTGTGGAATTCACAAAGCTAGACGAGAAAAAAAAGGCTGCTTGAAGCAACTTTAAAAAGAAAAAGAAAAGAGAAAGTGAGAGAAAGAGAGCAAAAACAAACTAAACACTCAATTAGCATAGAGCTGGAAGGGATCTTGGAGGTCTTCTAGTCCAACCCCCTGCTCAAGCAGGAGACCCTATACCATTTCAGACAAGTGACTGTCCAGTCTCTTCTTTAAAACCTCCAGTGATGAAGCACCAACAACTTGAGGTGGCGCAGCAGTTAGAGTGCAGTACTGCAGGCCACTTTAGCTGACTGTGTTCAGCAGGTCAGCGGTTCAAATATCACCGGCTCAAGGTTGACTCAGCCTTCCATCCTTCCGGAGTAGGTAAACCCGAACAACCAAAGACCTACATACAAATACCCGCGAAAACCTCAGAAAACATATATAAGTCTCATAAATAAATAAACTTCTGATGGCAAGCTGTTCCACTGGTTAATTGTCCTCATTGTTAGGAAGTTTCTTCTTAGTTCCAGGTTGCTTCTCTCCTTGATTAGTTTCCATCCATTGTTTCTTGTCTTGCCTTCTGGTGCTTTGGTAAATAAGTTGATCCCCTCCTCTTTGTGGCAACCTCTCAAATACTGAAATGCTGTCCCCACTAGACCTTCTTTTCTCTAGACTAGCCAAACTCAAATCCTGCAACCGTTCTTCATATGTTTTAGTCTCCAGGCCTTTAATCATCTTAGTTGCTCTTCTAAGATGATTAAAGGCCTGGAGACGGAAACATTGTAAACAAACTAAAGTTCACACATAGAAACAGACACACACAGAGAAACATACACACATACACATTATGGAGAATACAAACCATTTAGACATCCATGTTCCGTATT